GCCGCAGCAGCGGCACTACCACTCGTCGGTCCTACTTTTACTTTGCGCGCCTACTGTCTCACTTCCGTTTCCGGCCTCCAGCTTTTCCTGCTGGAACCCGCCGCTTAAAGGTGGGGGTCCGCGGACCGGCCATAGAGCCCATTAGAGTTAAAGGTGTTGGCCGTTAGCTGTAAAAATCCATAGATTAGCTGCACCGTTATATAAGCCGCAGCGTCGAAAAATAGGGGAAAAGCGCGGCTTATAGTCCGAAAATTACGGTAGATACAAATAAAATGAGATGAAAACAACTACAAAAAGACAATAAAATAAAATACCATAAAAATGTAGGTCTCAAAGAGGAACAAACTAATACTTACACTAGCATTAACTGTATGCTTCTTTTTTTTTTTAAAGCAAGGTCTTCAGCACACTCTTAAAGGGGAGCAATCATGCAAAATGCGCTTTTTGATGTCTTTTATGCATAAATATGTGTCCCCGTTGTGTCAGGGAACTCACGCAGCGTCAGAAAATAAAACCCTCTCTTTTTTCGTCCGTACCCAAATCTCTAAAAACAGGGCTACAACGGAGCTGATCCAGATTTGCGTCCGATATGACGTAATATCGGAAATGCAGGCTGGCTTTACACCCACGGCCCTATCAGAAACGTTGCTATCAGAAACAATGCCCGACTGTTTGGACGTAATATGGTCGTGTTTACATTAGCATCGCTAACACTCAGAGCTAACCTGTACTGGAGAGCATGTGTGTGAAGAAGCAGGAAATAAAAAGGAACTCACCTTGTGGTATAACCGGCAAGAGAGAAAGCCTTTGAGCTCCATACTGTTTCAGAAATAATCCTTGATAATCCATGATATGGCGTTTCATCACGGCAGTATTTAGTTCAGCTGCCGGGTCCTGCATGAGCTCAGCCCCCTCCTTTTAATTTTTTTTATCAATATATATATATTTTTAAAGCTTTATACCCCAAATCAGCACTTTTGAAACAGGAAGTGAAATAGAGGCATATGAGGCATGGCTAGAATGGGTGATCTGTTTGGTATTTTGAGCAAAACACTTCATTGACATGTTTTTTTATATATCTGAGACCGATGCTATTGCCTAAAAATAGCATGATAGGTGACCTTTAAAAGTATGGACACTGTCTGCCTCCCTGGGCACCTGCACTCTGGGAGCGTAATTCCCTGGAGGGGCAGTAGGGAATTAAAACATATTTTAAGTAAGATGGTGCCTGACCATTTAGCACTTTTTAATTTAGAAGAAGAGTTTGATTCTGTACTTTAATGGGAACAGTGTATTGCTGCTAAAATTGGTAATTATTTTTAGCATTAGACAAAAGTGAAATACTACCAGTAAAAACATCACAGCAAAAAGCTCAAATTTATTAGAGCCTTCTAACAGTATCTAAGATATAATATACGGTTTAATATCCACAAAGTCAGTCAGCCGTGTGTGTACCGGTTGTAGTATCGGTCCCGTTCCTGCTGTTCTCTCCCTCTGCCTGCAGGGTGTCTGTGTGGTCCTGCTGAGCGCTGCTGTTCAGCACCTTGGCCTGGCAGTGGGATTCAGTGCTGTCGATCACAGTGAGCAGGGCCTCCAGAGACAGCAGGTGGGTGGTGTACAGCTGCCCCGACACCGGGAACGCATTCTGTAGCCAGGGGGGAGATTGGAATCCATTGGACATTAGGGCTGTCATGATATTAGTGTATCAAGGCTGAAATAATTCACAACAACAAAATATTCTGTGGACAATTTAGAAAAAAAATGATATTGCTATCAACCTAATTAATCTTTTTGGTTTTTACTGTGTGATTTGTCTCTTTTGATGTCAATGAATTACAACTTAAAAGAACAGAAAGTCTGTAACCAGAACTGTACAAAAAGAATAGTAACATTAATGGGTAGTGAGAAGGCCACTAAATTAACTAAAAACACAAGAATGAATCCAACTTCTGCGCGAACAGTCACCTGTTGCATCAGTGTCACTTGTAGTTTATACATTTATAACATCTCCTCATGGCTCACAAACCAAATATAAACAACAAGGTCAATTCAGCAGATTTCCCCACAGTGTCGCATGATAGAGGACAAAAATGTTGGAGCTTGGATTTGTTTTCTAGTCCAGAGCAAAATCTAAGTACAATGTGCCTCTAAATATTGAGCTGGGGTGGGGCTTCTTCGTGGCCCTCTGCAGTCTACTCAGTGGTTATTAAAAGGATCTGTCCATAGACCATAGTGTGTTCAGCTGATATTCCCTGATGGAGCCCAGCAGAGCTAACCCTGTTCTAAGCTTCCATCTCTACTGCTGAAGCAACACGTTGCCTGTTCATTACAGCTTGTTGAGACATAAGCCCTTTCTCATTTCTCTAATTTTCACCTCCTCAGTAGTGACCCGGAAATGGATTTCAGCACGCCATGTTGAAGGACATCCCATTGCTCAAAATGCACATCGAGGACCGAGCATGGAGGAGGCTCTCTGGAGGAGCTATAACCGAGGATACACTGATGCATCCTCTGCGGATGTATTTCCGGCAACAGTGATGTTTAAAAGAGTCGTGACGCATGACTGGAACGATCTCAACCAATGACAGCTCTGCAAAATGTTCCTGTTGTGATTATGTTGTGGTTATTTAAGATGATTTAATGTGCATCCAACTTTCTGCCCTTTACCGTTAGTTTACTCACTAATCACATCTCCCCTGGATATTAGGCTACTTATGTTTTTAATACAACAACTGCTTTAATCGGGTTTCCCCTGCTTACTTAAAGATAAAAATAATAACGCTTTTGGGCCGTAATTAATTTATATATATTATTATTATTTAGCATGTCTACAGGATATTTAATAGTTAAATCAGTTTTCCCCCTCAGTCAAATCATACCGGCGCCTGTCTGCATCGGTAGCCTATTATTGTCTCCTTACACCACACTGTGAATGGAAATAAAAGCAAATCTATATAAGTTGTCCATCGTACAGAGAAGATCAAATACAGCGGTTTATCAAAACATTGGACAGATGATGCTGCTGTGCCTCCTGTCATCATTAATGGACGTCTCATTAAAGTGACCGCTCAGAGTAGAGGATTTCTCCTTTCTCTAAACGCCTCGTCTTCCACTCCTCTCTCCTCGGTTCCCTTCCTCAGTCCTCCGCTCACATCGCTTGTGGGCGGTACTAGGACGCGAGGCGAGGAGTCAAGGAGGTGAAAACTGGGAGTTATTATTGTGCACACAACACTGAAACAGGAAGCTTTTCATTGTAAAATGTGCACGCATTTGGATGCTAAGCTTACAGACTGTGCATAACTAATGTTCCTTACGACAGCAGGACGTAAAAAGTGTTCAAGAACTTGTAAAATAACAGCTAATCCAATTTCAATGTTTTTGAAGACTTAATGGACTTAAAGGTGGGGTAGGTAAGTTTGAGAAACCGGCTCGAGATACACTTGTTATATTCCATGGAATGCTCTTAACATCCCGATAGCAATGAATATCTTAAGTGCTTTGACAAAAAATCCATAATTAAAAAAAAGTAATCTGTGGAAGTCGTAGTACTGTAGAAAGCACGACCAATCATCTGAGCCGGCCCGGCTAAAATAACTGGATGGCCTACCTGCCTGTCAGCCTTCCATCTGCGCACAAACTTATCTCGTGCCCTCATTGGTCATGTGCACGTTCGTGTGTGTTAGAGGAGGGGCTCTGTAAGGATGTGGCAGATTTCTTCCCGCTGTGTATTTTCAAATTCTAGCGCACTCGAGCTGGATTCTCCAAAATTACCTACCCCACCTTTAAGTTCGAAAATAATGAAAAACTAAGAATGTAATTAAAGCTTGCCCTATCTTACAAGGACTTCCATGGTCTTATGTGCAACAGTAAAAAGCACCATAACGATGTTACCTTGGACAGCAGCTTGGTGAGGTCTTCGAACAGATTGGAGAAGTAGAAGTCACAGTCATAGTTGATGTACAGCTCAGTGACAAAGCTAGGAATCCTCCACAGCTGGACCAGAGCCTCCAGAGCCATCTCCTTCAGCTCGTAGGGCATCTTCATGTTCTCTGAAGTGATGATGTCCATCAGCTTTTTCAAGTACATCTGACAGGACACAGGGTGAGGATTATTAGCCCCTCAAGTTCAGGTTTAACATTTATTTGGATCAACTAAGTTACCTTTGAAGGTTGACAGAGCGTGAAGATCATTGAGTAAAGAAATCAGATAATGCACACCAGTTACATACCTCAAGCTGAAACTTCAGATGTACTCTCATGCTTTCAAAAAGCAAGAAGCAAACACGTATGGAGGAAGCATACAGATTCATACGGTCCACACTCAGCAGCTACAACACAGACAAAATGATCAGAAAAGATGCATTACAATATTAATATAGCAAATCAGTCCAGCTTTTCCTAAATACAATTTGAATTTTGCAGATCTCTCCTTCACTGAATTGCTGTTCCTACTACGATGAAAGACTAAAGGCACAATTACTTTTGTAATAGTAGAGCACCACTTTAAGGTTAACACACACAAGAATATGCACAAGTGATGGGTTTAAACATATACATGCTTTGGTGCCCATCAAAGCAGATCTTACAAGATTCTACCAATCTACGATGGAAGTCCCTTGCTAGCAGGTCCTGTTTTTAAGTCTGTTAATCATTTCTGAATTAGTTAAAAATAGTTCAAATGGTTTATCACAAAATAACTTTTCCGCAAAGCACCTGTCACTTATGCAGAGAAAATATAATAAAGTATATATTAGAAGATATACAACACATGTGAATACTGTACATAAAGTAACAACAAGCATTTATTTCTATCTTCTATCTTTTACCTGGAAAAGGTGTCTGCAGAGCTCATCTTTGACCAGTCCCAGTAAAGACTGGTAGTTAGTGAATTGTGCTGACTCGAGTGCAACAGTCAGCAGCTGCAGGCCCATGTGCATCATGGCGTCAGTGTTGTGGCGGTCGTGGGGGTTGGTCAGGGAGATCAGGAAGCGAAAGAGCTCCCTTAGACATGGCAAGCCATAAGGGATGATGGACGCTCCTGCAGAGAAAACAAGAGTAAATACAACTTTTTCATGCAAGTTAACAGTGGCATGAAACAATCCAAAAACACAACTGTAAAAAAGTCCAGAAAAAAATCGGAGAAATAAAATCCTGGTATAGTCTTACCGTCTCTTTGTGTGGACTGAGTAAAGCGCACTCCTCGTGGGTTGACATAGTCCATGTCATGTATAGAGGCGCTGTCTGACTGATCCGTAGCGTTGTCTTTGTCCCCCAGAACCTCAGGGATGGACTCCACTGAGGCCGACTGAGCTGGTCCAACTTGACTGCCCTCAGACTAGGCACAATTTAGAACAGAAAATAAATCATTAGTCATTATTCAAGTGATTTCACTTTAGCACACTCGCTAACAAAAGACACAACTTCAGAAATTCAACATGGAAATGGGGAAAGCGAAACATTTGTTTTATGTACTGTACCTGTGCATCTGGAGAGCCAGGCTCAGAACCAGGAAGAATGGTGGCAGAGGAGCTGCAGGGCTCCAGGTCGGAGAGGTCCTCCCTGGAGGTGGCTTTGGAGCAGGTGTCCAGGCCACTGTCTGTGGTTGTAGGGCTGGAGACTGACGAAGAAGCACTGTCTGAGCACTCGATGAACGGGACGCCGCCTAGAAAGAGATGCAGTCACACACAATGTAACGTTATGCCTTTTCACATTGTCTCATCTTATTCTATTTTACTTGCATATCATTAATTCTCCTTGATAACTTGCACATTAGTCTTGCCACATTTGCTTGGACTATTTCTATTTTTATCCTATGTATATGCATGTTGCATTGTTGCCGGAGCCCATGACTTTGGGATGCAATTTTCATTGCATAACTACACTGTAGCTGTGCATATGACAAAAAAGCCTTTTGAACTTTAATATGACATAATCTATAAAGTCAAATCAGAAGTCCACCACAGACTTATTATGTGATGCTAGAGAATAGGGCCAATATTACACAATTCATAAAAAAGAGCCTGTTCTCCCTGTCTACTTTACCCTACCATGATAGAAAAAAATGAATTGGAGAATATGATTTGAGCTTATTGAGCATCTTGAAGCTAGTCATTGATTATGGGTGAGTGTATGTTCACAGTTTGTCTGACCTGAGAGGTTGTTGTTGCTGAGGGTGCTGGGCTGGATGGGGTCCATCTGACCGGAGGGACTTCGGACCATGTGGTGAGGCGGCCTCGGTGAACGCTTTTGCTTCTTCCATTTGGATGACTCACTCATCCCACCGGCGCGCATCTTCAACTACAGTTAACACAGTGGATCACTTGGAGTTCTACAAACAACAACATTACTGATGAAGGCTTTGATCATCTAGGAAGCTTCATGCCTCATAAACGGTTCATGTTTTCTTTGAAAAGTAAGAGGTACAGTAGCTGTGAGCATTTCTAGTCACTCCCAGCTTAAAGGGACAGTTAACCCATTACATAGAATTCCTTTGACCTGTGTGGCTATGTATCAACCTAGCATGTTTTGGAGTGAGTTGTTGATCTTGACCGTAGGATGACTGCTTCCTCTCCAATACAATGGAACTCAAATATTCGTCCTTTGTGGGGCTCACAGTTCATAAGAATGCATCTGATGTACTCCACGGCAGTGCATCTTTTCAGAAATCATGAATCAATATAATCTACAGTGCAGACCCTGTTTCATGTTGTTTTACTGATACACAGCACAGTGGAAAGAGGGAAATGTACTTATGGACAAGAGGCTAGCCAACGTACGAGCTCAGCCGAGGAGGACACCACTTACATCTCGCACTGTAACCGTCACTGAGTGCACATGCTTTGTTCTGCAGAGTGTTTTGGGATGAATCCCATAGTTCCTGAATGTATCTGCTCACAACAAGGTCTGTAGATTATCTTGAGCACCTTGGTCATGAATTTGGGCGAGAGGCCTTTCTGTTCATTAAATGTATTTTCTTTTTACCTTTGATCACTTTAAGGGACATACTATGTAGTTCCATTATATTGAACGTAAGACAAACATTTCCGGATTAAAAATCACCTGTCAACTAAACCAAAACAATATAAATTGATAAACAGCACTATAAATAGGAAGACAAATATGAATTTGGATTTTGGGGTAAACTATCCCTTTCATAGGGTACAATAAAAGTAAATAGTATGTATTAAACCATTTTGAAGCCACTATTTGAAGCTGTGCTTGAACATGAAGGGAATATATGGAACTCCTTTCATAATATATGTGAACATGTGTTTCCAGGTGTTAGGGAGTACTCATGTAAATGTGAAAGAAGTAGCAACATATAAATGTATTCTTTACATCATTTCAGTGCACAACTCTTTGGCTTAACTACAGTTCATTATGGTCATGCAGGTAAAGGTCATTTCAACATCTGAAGCAAAGACAGATTTGCAATAATCATCATAAGTAACAACACTTGCGCAAAAGTGTAGATGCACATACAAACAACAACATGAAGAGAAAGTGCTTCTCGTTTAGAGTTTCAGACTCTTTTAAATCTGTAGTGTGACATTATCTTAACTTTCTTACAAAAGCAAACAAAAAGACAACTGAGACATGCTTTATCCTGCAACAGCTGAGAGTAAATGCTTAGCATGATATGCAGCAACTCAGACATATGGTGGTGGAATCAAAAACAAAATGCTCCTATAATATACATTTAATGTGAGCAATCACAAGCACAGACATGTCATAATGAGGTAGGTTTAACTTGCTAACAAATGTCCAGAACCATTTCTTAAAAACAGCACATGTGATGTTCCTCCTAGTTTAGAGAAGGTCAAACTTAGTGATGTCTTCAAATGAGAGTTACAGGGAGAGATCTCCCACCTTAACACGGAAAGCCATCTTCCTTACCTGCACTCGTTTGTTTTTCCACATGATATTGTAAGCCTCAGAAGAGAAGGGGAGGGGCATGTGCCCATGATTAGTGGTGGGTAACATGTCAGCATTGGGGCCAACACAAAACACACTGAAACATACATGTTTGTGCATGGTGGCAGGGCAGGGGGGGTCCAAACAGAGAGCGGGGTGGGGGGGCACAGACACAGCCACTACAGGCTCCAACCACAAGAGAAAGTGCAGCCAGCCAATGAGCAGGCAGTGTGAGCGGGCGGCAGACACCATGCAAAAAGCAAAACTGCTGCAACTACTGCTACTTCATTACTGAGGTCCCACATCAACACTACATGTACAACAGCATTACCACAGCCATTCAAACAGAACAGGGAAACTCGAGGTACGGTGTATTTGTACAGTGTCTAGCTTGTAAGATGTCATATCCAATCCCAGCCCAGCTTTGGACTAAACCAGGGGTGCCCAATACGTGGATCGCGATCGACCGGTCGATTGCAAAGGTAGTGTGGGTAGATCACATGGCATTGAAAAAAAAAAAGAATTTTTTTTTAAAGTTAGCCTATCATCCATCCTTACTATGGCTTTTGCCACTTGATTTACGTACAGGTAAGCCAGTCTGAGCTGTATTGTGCCATACGGGTTCATGCAGTTATGAGGGGGCCTCACATCCTCAACCTAAGCGAAAATGTGGCGCACTATTATACGCTTATGCGGCGCAATTAGTTGTAAGCGCGCGACCAGTTTATCCGCCGGTGCGACAGTTTATCCGCCGGGGGACTGTAGGTAGATAATTTGGGCTTGGTCATTTTAAAAGTAGCTCCCAAGCTGAAAAAGTGTGGGCACCCCTGGAATAAACCAACTAGTTAGACCTCATCCATGAAGTCTTCTCTCTGTTTCCAGTGTGCAATGGACTCATTGTTGCCCTCGCGTTACTACTACAGCCATGCCCAAAAGTTTGGAGAATGCATTTTACACTGCATTTCAGCCCTGCCACAAAGGAATAGCAGACATCATGTCAGTGATTATCTCATTAACACAGATGAGATTGTTGACTGGAGAATACTCTGTCATGCTGATAGAGTTAGAATAACACATTGGAAGCTTTAAAATGAGGGTGGTGCTTGAAATCATTGTTCTTCCTCTGTTAACCTGCAAGGAAACCCGTGCCGTCGTCCTTGCTTTGCCAAAAAAGGGCTTCAAAGGCAAGGATATTGCTGCTAGTAACATTGGACCTAAATCCACCATTTATCGGATCATCAAGAATTTCAAGGAGAGGGGTTCAATTGTTGTGAAGAAGGGTTCAGGGCCTCCAAGTAGGTCCAGCAAGCACCTTTGGAGGATGGCCTTGTGTCGAGAAGGGCAGCAAAGAAGCCACTTCGTTGAATCCCGTTCTTATTTATTTGGGGCATCCGGAAAAAAGCTTGTCCAGAGAAGAAAAAGGTGAGCGCTACCATGAGTCCTGGGTCATGCCAACAGACCATTCATGTGTGGGGTTGCTTCTCAAGGGAGTGGGGGCTCACTCAATTTGGCAAAGGAACTCAGCCCTGAATTAAGAATGGTACCAAAACATCCTCTGAGTGCAATATCCAAGAACAGTTTGGTGATGTACAATGCCCTTTCCAGCATGATTGAGCACCTTGGCATGAGGCGAAAGTGATAACTCAGTGGCTCGGGGAACACAACATAGACATTTTGGGTCCATGGCCAGGAAACTTCCCAGACCTTAATCCAAATGAGAACTTGTCAATCTTCAAGTGGCGGGTGGACAAACAAAAGGATCACATCAGGATGTGGCCCTGAAGTTCATTGACAGCATGCCAGGGCGAATTGCAGACGTTTTGAAAAAGAAGGGTCAACACTGCAAATATTGACTATTGACTCTAATTGTCAATAAAAGCCTTTGACACTTGTGAAATGCTTAAGCAATAGCTCACAACAATGCTCATTATATCACAGCTAAGGGGCGTGGTTCGGCCCGACGCAAAGCAAGCAACCACCTTGCATAGCAAGGTAGTTGCTATGCAACAACACTAACAGCAAGCGAACATATTAGACAGAGAGCGTTGATCCATTATTTGGCCGTTTATTTACATTAATGTGTATGTTGCTGTTTATTCTGCATCCACTGAAAAACTGTCCAGCATCAGTAGCATGGCTTACGTGGTCACTTGTATAGGTTGAGGTTGTTCGAGGCTGTTGCTTGGCGTGGCGAGAATATTGCTCCACTTTCTCCGGTCCCCGAGATTGGGCTTCCAGTAGCTCTGGAGAGAGCTTTCGCACCTGTGGCCACTAACGGTCATAATTTCTCTGCTTTGTTTCAAGACCCGCATCAGAAAGCTTTTGAATGGTGGTACTTTTCCAGTTGGTCTACCTGCTCTTCACGTAGCTCTGACTGCATGTCGTAGTTTAGGTGCTTTTTTTTCTGGAGATAGGCACTGCTCAATCCACTCCTCAATACTATAGTAAGACCCCCCCGGAGGTCGAAGTTAATCTTAAATGTTTCCATTTTATGCTTTGTAAGTTTGTTTCGTAACGGAAGAAATTTAAATATATTTATAAAACTGACAAGTCAAATCAAGCAATCTGATTGGTCGATAGCGTTTTTGCGGACCTCTTTGATTACAGATTTGAAAACATCGTTGCTTGCTTTAAAAGTAGCACAATTCATTATGTTAAACCTTCAAAAGTATCTAGATATCCCTGCCCTAATGCCAAAGGAACTGCACACTGAATATGTTTTGCCGTTTGATGTCTATGTCTGGACCGCTGCGTAAAACGGAGGGTTTCTGCCCCGTTACTTCTCCGCTGCTTTCTTGTTCCAGTATGAAAAGCAAACTGCAGGCAGTTTGCTTTTCAGCCCAACGGTTTACTGTTTTTCTCAGACGCGGAGGGATACTGACTTGTTGTGAAAAGTAACTTACAATTCTACCCGTGGT